CTATAAATTGTGTGCTTTTTGAACAAAACAGAATGTATCTGCAAATACAAATTCACCCCATAGATTTACGTGTGTGTATGTGAGGGGGGGAGGAGAGAGAGTGTGTGTGGGTGTGGGGGTTGGATGGGTGGGTGTGTATATGAGGGGGAAAGAGAGTGTGTGTGTGTGAGTGAGGCAAGGGGAGAGAAAAAGAGAAAGAGTATGAGAGAGAGAGAGAGAGAGAGAGAGAGAGAGAGAGTGTGTGTGTGTGTGCAGGAAATAGACCATTGAATGCAGCAAACTACCCAGCCTTCAGGACAACATCGACCACAACACCACACAACCCTGCCATGGCAACCTCTGCAAAACATGTCAGATCTTCAACATGGACACTACCATCACACGTGGGAACACCAACCACCACATGCACGGCAGATACTCATGTGACTCAGGCAACGTTGTCTATTTCATACGCTGCAGGCGAGGATGCCCCGAGGCATGGTATATTGGCGAGACCACGCAGACGCTACGACAACAGATGAATGGACATCGTGCAACAATCACCAGACAGGGATGTTCCCTCCCAGTGGGGGAACACATCAGCAGTCAAGGACACTTGGCCTCAGATCTTTGGGTAAATGTCCTCCAAGGCAGACTTCGGGATACAACTCAGAGTCGCCGAGCAGAGGCTGACAGCTACGTTGGGTATCGGTGAGGACGGCCTCAACTGGGATCATGGGTTCATGTGACATTACAGGTGACCCCACCACACTATACACTCTCACACACATATATATACACACGCACTCACTCGCACAAACACACTCTCACTGGCACACGTGCACGTGAACACATACACACACACACACTCTCTGTCCCTCCCCACATCGACACGCATACTCACTCTGGCTCGCCCCTCACACAAAATACACACACACACACACACACACACACACACACACACACACACACACACGCTTAAATCTATGGGGTGAATTTATATTTGCAGACACATTCTATTTTGTTCAAAAAGCACACAAAAATAGTGTTGTGTTTTTAAAATTTCTACTTTAGAAATAAAACCAGTCTGACTCCAAACCAGAACACAAACAGATTCTAAACAAGGCCTCACACCTAACATGCATTGTCTGACCTAAAATGTCACTTCTTCTTTACCCTGATAAAACCTTTAGTTCTCTCAGGACAGTGACTTGAAAGGAATTCAGGGATTTACATATACATATTAATCAAATAAAACCTTCTAACTGATTAAAGATTTAACAGCTTCTTAGGTTTGTTTAATGATCCTCATCAGTGGTGTGACCATTTGATCTTTTACTTATAAATAAACTGTGTCTGATACTACCTCTCTCATTAATACCTGAAGAAGGAGCAAGGCTCCGAAAGCTTGTGGTTTCAAATAAATCTGTTGGATTGTAACCTGGTGTTGCATGATTTCTGACCTTGTCCACCCCAGTCCAACACTGGCGCCTGCACATCTTAGCTAATACAGTTAGTAGACACATTTTGAGATCTGTTAAAGGCTGATCAATGGTTTGCGTCCTTTTTCTATTTCCTTAGAGTCGGTGAGTTGTCATTTTTTGTGCAAAGCAAAGGATGCTGGACCCATTTTGGAATTCCTTTATGATGATTAGTAAGACTTCTGTATCAGCTCTCATCATAGAACAGGATATGCCTTTTCTCATGGACTGGGGTACTGTACTATGTGGAAAAAGTGCTTGAATTCATATTACACGTTTCCCAATTTTCATAATGTCGCAAAGTGTGGTGAACTGCATTGACCATTACAATGGAAGAAAATGCTGCAGTAGACACACAGACATTTAGTGTAACATTGAATGTGGAAGTAGCATTGCCAACGGCAGAGTATTAAAGTGTTATTGAAGGTTGCATGCTCATATCTTGAGGTAAGTTCTCAAATTACAACCTTCTCATTCAGCGATGAGATTGCTACCACTGGGATAGAGCACAGAGCCAGTAGCTGCAGACACACTGGTTTCTGATAGACATACATTAGTTACAGATGAGCATTGCAGTTCCCATCTTAGTGAGACTATATCATATACAATATATTATGTATGCTATATTATATACAGTAGCACAGGCCAAAGATGGCTCTGCCACAGGTAGAGATGGAAACAGAAGGCTACATCCATAAGCTAAGCATTTACAGACATATTGGAGAACTGGAATAAAAAGTAAATAGTTGTGCAGCAGCATGGAGGATTTGCTAAAGGATTCCAAATTCAAAGTAGCAAAACAATGAGCCATTGGAGACTGGAAGGATTACTTTACTGATGATTACAATCTGGAGCAGGACAGAATGGAGACAATAGAGTTCTGCAGGAGAAGAAGCAAAGGTGAGCTGAATGCTGCAGGTGTAGGTGAGATTGAGGATTTCAGTGTGCGGACGTCCTGTTGCTGATTCACCTCAACCATCAGTTGACATCAGACGAGTAGTTAGAGTAAAACTGGGTGTTATCAGCTAACTAAGGCCCATGGGAAATATCAAGGGCCAACATGCAATAGAGAAGGACCCAGAGAGACAATCAGAAGCCATTCTGCATCTTTTGGATTGGCTTAGTGTGAACCTGATGGAGGCAGGTTGTGCACAGACATGGTGGAAACAATGACGTTAGATTGCTTGTTAGAAATTTCATTTAAAACCGATGTATACATTGCTTCCTGCAGATGGCATCAGGTGTCCAAACATCAACAAGATGGATGTGCAAGATTTTCACCTGATAGTCTTGAAATAACTCCACAGAGGCTGAATTCCATCACCAAATCACCCATTACTTAAAGTCCTTGACTTTAGCACTGCCTCATTCAGAGTTAACTATCGGAGTGGTGGTATCTCTGACACTCCTGTTTATATCTGTCAGCCAGGGCTCCCCAGGTTAACAGCCTCCAATCAGGGAACTCATATTCTATGAGGTCCAGAGATAGTAGGAACTGCAGATGCTGGAGAATCCGAGACAACAAGGTGCAGGGCTGGATGAACACAGCAGGCCAAGCAGCATCATAGGAGCAGAGAGGCTGACGTTTCGGGCCTAGACCCTTCATCAGAAAAGGGGGAGGGGAAGGGGGTTTTGAAATAAATAGGGAGAGAGTGGGAGGCGGATAGAAGAGGGATAGAGGAGAGGATAGGTGGAGAGGAAACAAACAGGTTGAAGAGGCGGGGATGGGGCCAGGAAAGGTGAGTGTAGGTAGGGAGTTAGGAAGGGGATAGGTCAGTCCAGGGAGGACGGACAGGTCAAGGGGGCGGGATGAGGTTGGTCGGTAGGAGATGGAGGTGCGGCTTGGGGTGGGAGGAGGGGATAGGTGGGAGGAAGAACAGGTTAGGGAGGCAGGGACGAGTTGGACTGGTTTTGGGATGCGGTGGGGGGAGGGGAGATTTTGAAACTTGTGAAATCCACATTGATACCATTGGGCTGCAGGGTTCCCAAGCGGAATATGAGTTGCTGTTCCTGCAACCTTCGGGTGGCATCGTTGTGGCACTGCAGGAAGCCCAGGATGGACATGTCGTCTGAGGAATGGGAGGGGGAGTTGAAATGGTTCGCGACTGGGAGGTGCAGTTGTTTGTTGCGAACCGAGCGTAAGTGTTCTGCAAAGCGGTCCCCGCTTGGTTTCCCCGATGTAGAGGAAGCCACACCGGGTACAGCGGATGCAGTATACCACATTGGCAGATGTGCAGGTGAACATCTGCTTGATGTGGAAAGTCTTCTTGGGGCCTGGGATGGGGGTGAGGGAGGAGGTATGGGGGCAGGTGTAGCACTTCCTGCGGTTGCAGGGAAAAGTGCCGGGTGTGGTGGAGCTGGAGGGGAGTGTGGAGCGGACAATATGAGGTCCAGCTGGCTGACCTCACTACAATCGCTATAAGTCTGTTCCCCAACATTAGTCTATTAGTTTTTGGAAGCTGTACCACTATTGGATCAAAAATATTTATGTTCCCTTCCTCAGCAGTTAAGTCACCTTTTCTGCACAGCACACCTTTTCCCAACTGACAGAAAAGCCAGACAATAAATACACTGATAGCCTCAATACTGCTTGAGCCTTTGGGTCATCTGAAACATGGATGATTCTATTCACATTGTGAAAGTTCTGACAAAAGGTATTTTATTTTGATTCTCCTCATTCTAGTCTTAATGGCCAGTTTATCTCCGAGTCCCACTGCATTTCACATTAATTTCTCAGATAGGGCAGCCATGTCACATGCTCCAAGGGCTGTGGGCTGGTGTTGGTTTTGGAGCGTCCCAATCTTCCATCACTTTCTGTAACTTGGCTCACCCGCAGTCTCACTGAAATGGAACTGTAACACACCCCTATGACCAACAAATGTATGTAATTATCTCTCAGAAACTGGTATTTCCATGTATCTGCTCTATACTGCACCCATAATACAATAAAATGTGTCAGGACATTTCACAGGAATATAATTGGATAAATGCTCTGACTTCAAGCCAAAGTGGAAGAGGTTAGGAAAGGTGACCAAAAGCTTGGTCCAAGAAACAGGTTTGAAGTGCGTAAATAGGAAAGAGTGAGACAGTTGGAAATAAACAGAGAAGTTTAGGGAAGGAATTCCAAGGCTTTAGGCCAAGGCTATTAAAGACATGGCCACCAGTGGTGAGAGACTGGAAGTGAGGGATGCACAAGAGATGGTAGAATTGGAGGAATGTGAGATCTTGAACTCTTTTAGGATCAGAGGAAATCAGAGGAGAGGCCATGGACGGATCTGAATGAAGGTCTGGGAACTACCATTTAAATTGTTTAAGCCAATGCAGGTCATCAAAGGATGGATGATGGATGATTGAGATTTGGTGCAAGTTCGACACATGATGCAAATAGTGGACAATGTGCAGCTGAATGGAAGGGAACAGGAAAGTTCCCCAATTTCCCCGGAGAGAGCTAGTCACAGCCACATCAGACGATGAGGTCAGATGTCCCAAGCTGCTCGAGCTTAAGGGTGGGTTCCTTGGGCCAAACGACATGAAACTTACCAACTGGAAACCACAGGCCACTGTCCCGAAGGTAGTTATTGAGGCCTTTTCTGGTGACTCCCGGTTCAACTGTCACATCAAAGTCTTCTGTATTGAGCTCCACAATTTCATCCATTTTTGTGAGGTTGAAGCACACGCCTCCCTGATGAGGAAACAAACAGCCACAATGGAACAGTCAGAAAGGAGTGATCAAATTAAAAACCAAAAAGAACTGCGGATGCTGTAAATCAGGAACAAAAACAAAGTTGCTGGAAAAGCTCAGCAGGTCTGGCAGCATCTGTCAAATTAACTCCATTAAACAGGAGATAGTCACGTCTTTTAGCCTGGCATCGTCACTGCAGTCAGAACTATTTTATGGAGCGAATGCAAATCCCCAGAGAGAAACAATAGCCTCCTCGTTCGCTGAGTTCAAGGTGACCAGTCCACCACATGGTCTGTAAGGCAGACAGTCCTTGGTAACGTGCAACTTTATTTGTGTGTCTCGATTAGTGTGTTAAGGGGTTTGTATTGAGACCTCAGAGGGTCCGGTTGGTTCTGCAGGGTGTTATGGACCCGGCCAGCCCCCCTCAAAATATTTTAAGAAGGTAGCCTCGACCCTAACTTTTTTTTTTCATATTAAAGGTAGATATGAAGTGCGTTTCAAATGTGATGCAACTGGTCAAACCACTATTTATTTTAATACTATAGTTAAAATACAAACAAAAGAAAGAGAAATTTAGAATAACTTAACAATTGGAAAACTTAACCAAATAGATACAGTACCTATTACTAATTAACTGTTCCAATAGTAACATCCCATGAACACATTCCTTGGCAAAACGTAAATTCAGACACAGATTCTTACAGGCAATTCTCCAATCCAGGAGGAAACAACATCAAGAGAGATTTCAGAGAACGTAGCAGCTAGGAATCATTTTATTGGAACTCCAAATCTTCTGGGACCCAAACTTCTTCTGACTGTGATAGCGAAAATACTAGAAAACCTGATCTGGGAGAACTGGCCACTCTCCTTCCATTGTTACAACTGTTTTAATCAAAAACCTAAAGGCTTCCTCTGATTCAGAGATAGTAGGAACTGCAGATGCTGGAGAATCTGAGACAACAATTGTCATCAGAAAGGTCTAGGCCCGAAACGTCGGCTTTTCTGCTCCTATGATGCTGCTTGGCCTGCTGTGTTCATCCAGCCTTGCACCTTGTTGTCTCGCTTCCTCTGATTGTTGACTTGGGCCAACTCCCATAGCTACTTCAACACCTCTGCCTTTACAATCTCTCTTCAAAAAAACCCAGGACAAAATAACCTTTTTAAAGTGACAGCATCATCACAAGGGACCCTGAATTGTTCTGAACCTGTTTAGCAAGAACCACTCTTAACGGGGTATGTAAAATCCTGCCATTCAATGGGTGTCACAAGAAACTCAGATGGATTGCGAATGATTTCCATTTAGTAACATCGAATGTTTATGAAATGCAATGAACAAAGACACAGGATGCGCAGCCGCAAAGCCCTTCTTATATTGGAGAAATCAATCCAGAGCTGATGCCCAAATCTAGTCACCTATCTCTCTTTGCCTGTACTTGCCATTCCTGAAGAGAAATTAACGTTCTGAAAGAGTCAATCCATTTCGCAGTTAGTGTGAGCCTCCAGGTTTCCATTGCTAAGGGACACAGTTGAGTTGATCAGTTGGGCTTCTCTTTACAGCTGTGCGATTGACACTAGCCTGATATTTCAAGATTTTAGGAAGTGAACTCTCATTCTAAAACTGGCAATAAAGCTCACAGGTTATTGGTTGGGTCACTGGATTACAAATGCAATGGGAAAATGCAACAGGTTGTGGAAATCTAAAATATAAACAGAGGATTCGAAATACCCTGTGGGTGAGGTGACATCTGTAGCTGGAGAAACACAGTACCTTTTCTCTCCTTTTGACACCACTTCTCCATGCAAGTGCACTTTTTGTGGGAGAAACAGAGGTGCAGAATATTTCTTAAACGGTGAAAGATTGAAAACTGTTGATTTCCAAAGGGATTTAAGTGTCCTTGTTCGTAAGTGACTGAAAACGAACATGTAGGGACAGCAAGCAATAAGGAAGGCAAATGCTATGTTGGCCTTTATCACAAGAGATTTTGAATATAGCAGTAAAGATGTCTTGCTTCAATTCTACAGAACGTTGGTAAATCCCACCTGGAGTACAGTGTGCAGTTTTGGTTTAGGTTCTCTTACCTAAGAAAGTGGGAATGTAGCAAAGATTCACCAAACTGATTCCTGTGCTTGTCCTACTGAAGAGTGATTGAGGAGACTAGTCTTGAGTTCTCCGGGGTTTAGAAGGATGAAAGGTGATCTCATTGAAAATTCTTGAAGATTGACCTCTGAAAAGAAGTTTCTCCCCCTATCAGTCCTAACTCACTCGCCCTTTACTCTAAGCCCATGTTTCCTACTTCTAGACCTCTGCAAGCCAAAGGAAAACATTCATTTCTTAAAAATCTATCAGTCTCTGCTTTGAACATTATGACTGAGATATCTAAATATAGGTAACTCAAGGGATATGAGGATAAGGCAATAAGGTAGATGATCAGCTATCATCTAGCAGACTGGAGGGGCTGAATGGCCTACTTCTGTTCCTATATTTCTAAATCATTCATTCATTTTATATTCGAACATTACTGATAAAATATCCTGTTTTGTGACTTAACTGTTTTAATTTAATTTTACACCTCAAAAGTTTTATTTTAAATGACAAATTCCAGGGAAGATATGTGTGTTGGTATCATGGGAATGGCATTCCTCGTATACAAACGGAGCTCTATAGAAGCAGGCAAGACCCTGAATGATTGGTGGAAATTGTCCGTACAAACCACACTGGGCACCAGGAAGTTCTGGAAGCTGTTACAATGCTTAAGGTTACAGCACGTATATTATTCCATTTGTATGAAACATGTCTTTTTATATTTCTGGTTACAAAAACTGAAGACTGCTAGAAGAAAAAATAAACTGTTTGGCTGCATAATTTCACAGCTAGGAATTTGCTCCCTGTTGTGAACTCTGTTTTTGTGGCTGTGGGTTTCTGTAATGTGCAGATGATTAGAAGTCAAGGAGTTGTTTACAAGAAAAGCTGATTGGTTCTTAGCTAACTGAGCAGGTTGGAGCTGGAAACAAGTTACAGAGACACAGAGAGAAAGAAAGAAAGTGAGTGTGTGTGCTGTTACTCTCCTCAGCAGAAGCTGCCTGTTCTCTGCAGTAAAAATCTCAGTTTAAACTTGAAGAAAACCAGTTACATTTCCTACCACAGTTGCTAAGAGTTGTGACTTTCCAATTGATAAATCAAAGACCTTGAATCAATGATTGTACTTTTTACAAACCAGCAGAAGCTTCCAGACAAAGACAGCTGAACAACAAAGGCCTGGTTAGCCGAAGACAGAATCATTTCAAGTTTGGAATCGAGAAGCAAAGACCACTGAACGTCATATTTTCTCCAGCTCCACCAAGAATCGATTTCTCTATTTGTTCGTGTGTGTATGTGTACGTAAGAAGGAGTTTACAAGGAGATTAGAGTTTTAGTTAAGTGTTAAATGACAATGGTTTATTCCTGTTTACCTGCAGCTATAGTTTAATGAATAATCATTGTTGTTTGGTACAGAAACATGGGTCATGCCAACTACCAACCTTGATCTGAATGTCAGGTAAATTTTTAGTCAGTGGCGTCGGCATGGAGGAGAGGATGCATTTTATCCAGTAATTCATAGAGAAACTACATGAGGAAAGCGAGAACATTTTCTTATTTATTGAATGTAATCAAGTCAATGCGAAGAACAGCAGGGATCCATTTGGACGTAAATTCTATAAAGAGGGGAAACCAAGACTGAATGAGTTGCTATGATTACAGAGCACTGGCTACTGCTGAGGGCAGGAGGAAAGCTGATTGCTTTGCTTCCAACTTCCGGTGACAACAAGGGAAGCAAGTTGGTAATTTGACAGTATGGACCAAGGAGATTTGGGTTTTCAGGTACACAAATCACTAAGCTGCAAGCACAGGTACAAAAAGTAATAAAAAAGGCTAATGAAAAGTTGACCTCTATCTCAAGGAAGTTGGAATATAAAAGTACAGCTGTGATTCATGGTTATAGAGAGCCTTAGTCAGACCTGTTTGTCGTACTGACTCCAATTTTGGTTGCTACACCTTTGGAAACAGATGTTGGCCCTCAATGTTATACTGTGTCAATTCACTGGAATGACATCATGGTTTGAAGGGCTAAAGTATGAGAAAATGTTGTATTAACTTGGTATGCATTCTCTTCAGGTTAGCAGGCCAAGGGGGTGATCAAATTAACATGTAGTGGGGCATCTAAGACAAGTGACAACATTCAATCTTAAAAGGAGATCTGGATCATTTAACAGTGAAATTAGGAATAATGTTTTCCAAATAAAGTAGAAAACTGGATTTTCCTTCTGAAAAGCTGGAAAGAAAAGGGATTATACACTTATGACAGAGACAGTGAGAATTTATTTTATCTCCATAGAGGGTCATGAGTCTTTGAAACCCTCTTCCTCAAAAGGTGGTGGGGGCAGAGTCTTATAATATTTTTTAAGGCAGAGGCGGATAGATTTCTGATAAGCCAGAGGGTGAGAGGTTAGCAGGGTAGGTAGGAACGTGGAGTAATCAGACGAGCTATGATCCAATCTAGCTAGGCTTGAGGGGCTGAGTGGCCAACTCCTAATTCATATATACATATGTGATGTATTTTACATCCAACACTTCTGTTAGGTAGGAAACACAGCAGCTAACATTGATGTGGAATGACGATCATACACAAGGCACACTAGGCAAGAGTGCAGCTTTTCCTCTCTGCAGAACAATGATCAACTAGGTTTTTAACAATAATTTAGCAGTCAGTGGCTACTTCTACAACTAACAGTTTTCTTAAAAACAGATAGTATTGAACTGAATTCCAATTCTCAAACATGTAGGTAGACAGGGTGGTGAAGAAGGCATTTGGCACGCTTTGCTTTTATTGGTCAGTGCAATGATTGGAGGAGTTGGGATGTCATGTTGCAGCCATACAGGACATTTGTGAGGCCACTTTTAGAATACTGCATGCAATTGTGGTCGCCCTTCTATAGGAAGAATGTTGTTAAACTTGAGAGAGTGCAGAAGCGATTTACAAGAATGTTGCCAGGGTTGGAGGGTTTGAGCTGTAGGGAGAGGCTAAATTTCCAGGGAGCACGGAGGCCAAGGGGTGACCTTATAGAGGTTTATAAAGTCACGAGGTGCATTGATAGGGTGAATAGACAAGATCTTTTTCCGAAAGTAGGGGAGTGCAAAACTAGAGGGTATAGGTTTAAGGTGAGAGGGGAAAGATTTAAAAGGGATCTAAGGGGCAACTTCTTCACACAGAAGGTGGTGCGTGTATGGAATGAGCTGCCAAAGGAAGTGATGGAGGCTGGTACTATTGCAACATTTAAAAGGCATCTGGATGGGTACATGAATAGGTAGGGTTTAGAAGGATATGGGCCAAATGCTGGCAAATGGGATAAGGTCAGATTGGGATGCCTGGTCGGCGTGGATGAGTTGGACCGAAAGGTCTGTTTCCATGCTTGTGACTCTGTGGTTTTAGTTGAACTCATGGAGCGAACATTTTTTGTTGAGCCCTGCTCCTGGCTCAATAAGCCTGAGCCCACCTTCACTTGGCTTGGTTACCCTGAGTGAACTGAAACCAGACTGCTGCCCCCCGAATCTGGGAACTCTGGGAGTGGTGACCATGACCGGGGCTGCAGCAGTCATGGCGCCAGCTGTGGAGGTAATTTGGGACCTTTCCCCAGTGATGGTGTGGTAGACCACGGAGATGTGGGTGAGTCTGGGAGGACGGCGGGTGTGGGAATGCCATTGGGGGTGGGGGTGCTCTGTCGGGTAAAGGGTGTCTGAAAAGGAGGAGACCCTACTGTTCAGACAGTGGGTTGCTGTTGGCAAAATCCCAGCAGCAGCCACAAGGGGCCCTTAAATGGTCAACGATCAGATACCGGTGGATGCTTGTCAACAATGGGACCATATTGCCACCATGGCACCTCATTTTCTTCCACTCCTGGCAGCCCACTGGCTGTAAAACACCACCTATATTCTCTGGATTACTGGTCCAACAAGGTAACCAATACACTCGGCTCCAAGCAACACTTCCACTGTAGTTAACACATAATGGCACGTATCAAGGAATGGCAGTCCCCAAAGACGTGGGCACACAGAGTCTCGGATCCATTAGTGAAGGTCCAGAGGAGAAACCTTGCTTCCTTCTGCTTTGTCCTCTAGCAGCTGGTGCTGCCCTCTGAGTCCCTCCCACTGCCCCTTAGCAAGCTCCTTTCTTCAAGGTACAGTAACACAGCACACAGCCTCTTTGAGGTGAACCCCTCACAGACTCCCTGAAATAAATGTTGATTTGCGTGAGTGAAGTCTTGGTGAAGTGTCCAAGGAAGTCGCTGAGGTGTTTTAAAGTTTTATTTCACCTATTTTCCTAACCGAGCCATTCAGAGATATTATTACACACCTTTGCAGCAGGTGGGACTTGAAGTCTGGGGTAGTGGATACTGTGTCACAAGAGCCCTCGTTCACTGAGGTGTTTTAAAAGTCCACTTCCAACCTCTAGCAGCAGTTGAGAGTTGGTATGCCTTTAAGAAAGGAGTCAGCAATACACAACAATTACTGCTTTTCAGCTCATCAGCTTCTTTACTGAGCAGTAGCTGCCAAGAGGCAACCTGCCCCTTGAACAATCTTCTGAGTATCCATTCCTAGTGCTGGCTTCAAATGTTTTACCAAAATGGCACTTGGTTTAAAATTGAGGCTAAGCTGAAGATCCCCTATCGTATTCCCTTCAAGCAGAGTCATAGAGATGTACAGCACAGAAACAGAGCCTTTGGTCCAAATCATCTGTGCCAACCAGCCATCCTAAAGTAATCTGGTCCCATTTGCCAGCATTTGGCCCATACCCCTCAACCCTTCCTATTCATATTACTATCCAGATGCCTCTTAAATGTTGTAATTGTACCCACCTCCACCACTTCAACTGGCATCTCATTCCATAGACACACCATCCTCTGTGTGAAAAAGTTACCCCTCAGGTCTTTTTTAAATCTTTCCTCTCTCACCTTAAACCTATGCCCTCTGCTTTTGGACTCTCCTACCCTAGGAAAAGGACCTTCGCTATTCAGCCTATCCATGCCCCTGATGATTTTATAAACTTCTATAAGTACCTAAGGTATCCCAATTAAAAACTCCATCTTAATATTTAGCATTTCAAATAAAACTATATCAAGGCTTCATGAGCTTCTGTGTGCCTAAAAGAGGGGAAAGAAAAGCGTCTGTTTATTTGGTAAAGATCATAAATCCCCGCTACCTTCAATGCGAGGACGCCTCCTTCCAGCCCTGTGCTTGTACCGAAAGGGATGATGGGGACATCGTTTTCAAAACAGATTCGAGCCATTCTGCTGACCTGCTCCACATTCTGTGGCCACACAACTGCATCTGGAGGTTTGCAACTGCACACAGATTGGAACAGTACAGATTACTCTTATGTTCTCGTGATCAATCTCCCAAGCATTTAGCACTTCAATCAAAGTTACTTAGCCAATCCAATCAACTAAATTGGCAGATATTCAATGTAAAAAGGACACATATGAATGCTGCTTTGGGAAACACAAGCACATAACGCTCCCTTAACCTGTGATTAATCCCAGGATGGGTGTTACAGAACCAACTGCCTAAGCCTCAAATTCTGCAATTTTCTTTGTAAGCCTCCTCTCTATTTCCCACATCGCTGTTATGTATGTTTATAATTATTTTAATGTTTTATTTGTTTGATTTGGACTCCTTAGGATGGTCTTACCAGGGTTAAAAGGTGCTTCATTACAAAAGCAAGTTGTTGTTACTATTAGAAACCATTAATCCATAAGAAAGATGACCCTGAAGATACATTCGTAGCTACTGGGTCTCACTGCTCCCATTCAGAAGGCACTAAGCATCAGCAATGAGACCAATTTGATGAACTAACATTCCATAATCTGGGAACTCCTGGAAACCATCAACCTTAAAAGTGGATCAGGCCATTTTGCAGGTATTCTGGGTGTCATCCTAAAACAGATATGAAGGTGAAGGGAAGGACTTGCAAATTACTTAGTTCCATTAATGATCTGAGAATGTCCCAAAGCAATTTATGCAGAGCAGGGTCCCACACACACAACTGAGATAAATGAGCAGACCATCTGTCTTAGTGAAGTTGATTGAGAGATAACTATGGCTTCGAGAATCCAGTCTGGTCACCTGCATTAATGAAGTCTATTGAAGGTGAATCTTGCATTGCCAACGGGTGGCCTTACTGCAGGTCTGGTTCAAGATAAAAACAGCCTTTCTCTCAGTCAGTGTGAGCTGGGTTCGAACAGAGGAGGTTTATCTGCCTTACTGAAAGAACAATCCAGAGCTCAAACCGAAATGATGTTGATACCTGCACAGCCTGTGTGTTAAATGATTAACTCCTCAAGCCAGGCTTTGTCACCTTCATGACCACTACAAACCCCTCTGCCTATGTCACTGGATGATCATAAACATACTGGCCCAGAGGCTCAGTCTATTACCTGACCTGTGCCACCATCAGAGCAACTATTCTAATGCATGTTTGGCATGGAATAGCCATAATGGAACCAGAAGACCCTGTCAGAGGGAATCTAACTGCCATTCAGCCCTTACCCCTGTGCTGTCTCTTTCATTGTGCTATTCAATTAGTCCCATTTCCCTGCTCTTTACCCCCACCCATTCTAATTTTCCCCCTGATAATATTTATCCAACTTCCTTTTGAAAGTTATTACTGAAGCTTTTCCCACCAGCTTTACAGGCTGTGCAACCACCTCTCAACAATACGCTGCTTATAAAGTCATAAAATCACCTCTGGTCCCAGAATACGACTGAACCAACCTCTCAAAACAGTAACATTTTCTTTAAGAAGTGATAGGAACAAGATGTGCATTGGAATAACTCATTTGTTGTGATCTAAAATGAGCTCCAGGGGTTTGAGAAATATAGTACTTTTTGAAATTAAAATATATGTATAACTCTGTGTTGGCTCTGAGCTAGGGAGGGGATTATTATCTTCCTGGCATATGGAGTAGTAGACAGTGCTTACATGGGCAGAAACAAACAGCCAGCAGCAAGGATTATAATGTGATGAAGCAAGGTCTGAATAAACAGATGCCTTTCAATTTATAAATTGTGTGAACCTGCAGTTAGAATGCCTCTAAAAGCACAACATTCTCCAACATGAAAAGCAAAGCTCTTACCTATGATATGATTCATCTTTTCTATGCTGCTCCCGGACAACAGTTGCCGTGGAAATGTTTTCAGTTCCTGTTGCTGCTTTCAGAGCCTCAATAATATTACTATGCAATCCTCTCTGAGGAGTGAGAACAAAACATTTAGACAAATAATCTCTCTTTAAAAATCACCAGCCGCTACTGTTCATTTTTTCTTTACATTTCCCAGTGTCACAGTTGGGAAATGTACTGTGCAATTTGGAACTAATGTGATCCACAGATTGCACTCAGTTGGTTGATAGACAGCTGTAGGAGTGCTATAAATGAACCCTGTGCATCATACTCAAGAGGGGAAAACAGCCAGCAATAGCTTCCACTTCTGCCTCCATACAGTGGTTCATGAAGTATCCATCAAGCTAAGCTATGATTCCCCCCCACCCGCCACCCCCCAAGCCAAAAAGCTTGCTGGGCATCATGTGTGAAGTCACTTGGCAAATGGCAGCTTGGTAAAGGTGTAGAAAGTCAACTGACTCCTGTAAAACCAAAGACCCGCAGTATTTTTAACAAAACAATTGGATTTGGAGATGAAATAGTACAATAATAATTCAATAGCTTTCCCATTTCCGTCACAATAAGCGATGTAATACAAATACACTCTCCCTCTCCCGCTGAGTCAATGTTCCCAGGTGTTCACTGGAAATATGTCACACAAACATTTCCTGAAACTATAGCTCAGAAACTATGAAAATAAAGCTTCTCTCCCATTTTACTTCCACACACCGACTCACAGTTAAGATGACTCCAAAATGAAGGGACAATCAGTCCTGAAAGACAATGGGATACCATTACCCAAATAAACTTGAGTTAATCAGACCAGTAAATAGAGTTCAAACAGGTTGGTTTTGCCTGATAGACAGGAGTTATTTGAAGATACAGAACATATAGTAAATGTGGTATCTGAGGATTTTCAAAAAAAAAACAGCTCATCAGATAGTGTGTGGTAAAGATAATGACTCATCCAATTAATGGGAATGTAGAGAGAAAGATAGATGCTTGAAGAGATAAGACTCAAGTTCCTTTAACTGGGATGACATAGCAAATAGTGTTTCTCAGAATCTGTGTGACTCATTTCACTTTCATAAAGATAAATAACTAGTCAGGAAGTGAGGGAACAATGTTAGCTTTGTGAAGGTGACAATTGAGGCGTACAGCAAACTGTAACAAGAATGGTAGGAACTTTTTTTTGTTTTAATGAAGATCTGTAGCTCTTTTGTGGTTATGGTTGGAATTGTTGGTTGATTCGCCAAGCTGACTGGTTTCCGTGCAAACGTTTCGTCTCTCTTCTAGGTGACATCTTCAGTGCTGTGTAGCCTCCACTGAAATGCTGTTGTTCTGTCCTGCACTGAATTTATAATGGTCCGGTCTGCCATGGTGGTCAGTCTTGTTTCATAAGTTTTGTGACGTAATGGTATGTAGACGGGGTCTATATTCACCGGGATCAAGTTCACCAGGGAAGAAGAGAACAACAACCAAATCCCATTTCTAGACATAGTGGTGGAATGAACAAACAACAGTAAATTCCTTACCATCGTATACAGAAAGACTACACACACAGACACAGACCAAATCCTGAATTACAATATTCAACCCCACTGTCCACGAACAGAGCTGTGTCAAGACTCTGTTTACATGAGTGATAACACACTGCAACACCCCAGAGCTGTGCAAAAAAGAAGAGGAATACCTATACAAAGTCTTTACGAACAATGGGTATCCCAACAGCTTAATCCGCCGATGCCTGACAAATAACACCAAGAAGATACTGTGCACCCCAACACACTGGCCACCCTACCCTATATTAGAAACAACATCAGATCTGACTACGAGACTCCTACAACCTCTTAGAATAAGGATAGCACACAAACAAACAGCCACACTTCACCAGTTACTCTCACAGACAAAAGACCCCATACCCACAATGAGCAGACAAATGTGACGTACAAAATACCATGCAGCAACTGTGAGAAACACTACATAGGAACAGATGGGCAAGAAACTCGCCACCAAGATACATGAAAACCAACTTGCAGCAAAACGGCACGACCAACTCTCCCTCGTTTCAATACACTCCGACATTAAGGACATCAATTTGACTGGGACAAAGTTACAGCACTAGGGCAAGCAAAACAAAGACACGCACAAGAATTCCTGGGGGCCTGGTTTTCAACCACTGCTGCAATAAACAAACATGTTGAAATAGACCCCATTTATACACCACTATGGTGCAAAACTGAAAACAAGACTACCCACTCTGACAGGCCGTACCATATAAATTCAGAGCGGGACAGAACAACAGCGCTTCAATAGAGTCTAGACAGCAGTGAAGATGTCACCTGGAAGGGAGATGAAGCTTTTGCACAAAAACCAGTCAGCTCAGCAAACCAACCAACAATTCCAACTGTAAGAACAATATAGACAGACTAAAAGGATGGATGGATTCTGTGGCAGGTGCAGCTGAGGGGAGTAAGCAAAACCTTTAAAATTGGTATGATTTTAAATACAGTAGATAAGACCACTAGTCAGAAAAATAGGATCCTTTGTTTATGTTCTAGAGACGTAGTATTCAAAAGAGATGTGGTACTAAATGCGGTGTAGAAGGATCAGGCATATAATTATATATATTGATTAACTAGGAAGCTTGTGGTCATGAAGGTGTTATAATTAAAAATAATCTGTGGTCCTCTTTGCTAGAGCCAAGAGTACTAAATACTCATTGTATAAGCCACCTGCTAAATGTTTTCAAAATTAGAAAGGTCCCACAGCCTTTATTTGTCATGCTTGACAAAACAAGTACTCACTGATTCAAATTATATAGAACTCTAGCAGGGTAGGGGCTGTGTGGAGGAAGATGGTAGGAAGAGAGGTCAGCAGCTCCCAATTAAATAAAATTAATCACAATATTAAAGAACTGTGGTGCACTAGAGCCATGGAGAGCCTTTGAATCTGTGTCAAGGACTACTGGGCATTGATTCAACCTGTGCACAAGGGAATTACTGAGAGAGACTAGCAAACAACAGAGATGGAGTCACGATGGAATAAAAAGAACAAGATGTCGGAAAACAGTGAAAAGAGGGAAGTGTAGGCCAGAAAGAATGATGAGAAAGTGACACACATCAAATTGGCAAAGAGAATTGAATGTAAATAAATGTAAGCAAGAAATACTGGAAAATAAACAATAACAGACATATTCAGGCACTGTAATGCATTTAAGGAAATGAAAGAAGTGAAGGTGGAGAATATTTTAGGAATATAAAGCAATCATGGTCTTTTGCAGGTGCAAAATATTGTTACTAAATGTTGTGTTTGTTATTTTGATGGATGCATCCCAGTCTGCTCCTCGTCTATAATTTGCCAAATAAATGCTTTTGTGAACTGCTTAATTATTATGTTGAAGTATTAGAAAGTTGAAGTGACCACAGTGGAGCTGTGAATTGTGAAGAACCGAACCATGCAAGAGGGGGTGGGGGGTTAGTCACTGCTGCCGAATTAAGGGGAAGTAATTTTCACGCAGTGTAAGGTTAGGGGGTGGGGCACCATTTATGAGTTGCGAATAAAGGATGAGATTGCAACATGACTTGCAGGCCGGCAACTGTATTTATTTTAAAGCATCTAAAAATAACCGAGTGGCAGCCGGATTAAGATGAGACACCGGGTGCTAGTGTCGACACAAACTGACTCTGAAAACAAGTCTAACTCCGATTTGTTCCAATGTTTATTAGTCCAGCCCTGGTCTCAAGTTTGTTTTGTATTTACCCGAAATTAATTGAGGGACGTTTATACAAGCCCATTAATAGTTACAAAAACAGAAGTTGCTGGAAAAGCTCTGTAAGTCTGGCAGCATTTTTAAAGAAAATATCCAGATTTAACATTTCGGGTCCGGTGACCCTTCCTCAGAACAGTTAACGCTAAGTTAACAAGGTGTAGAACACAGCAGGCCAAGCACCATCAGAGGAGCAGGAAAGCTGATGTTTCGGGTCTCGACCCTTCTTCAGAAAATGAAGTTAACTTGGCAGCGCTGCATTATTCATGACTCATCGGAACGGAAGGAAACTACTGTGATTTTAATTCTGTGAGAGGTCACTTTTCATTAAACAAAATCAAGCAAAACGATTAAAGATGCATTCATTACCAAACAGTATTTTTAAACATTTCCAGGATTTAAGCCAATTAGATATGTTTTATCATTAAAAATACACTCGATATGTAGTGCTCAGACCCGGAACAGTGTGGTTACTTTGCCAATTTGTTACATTGGCACGGAAAAGCGCCGGCGCTTCTGAAACACTTGCTGGTGGCCCGCTGCATGTTGTCGCGACTGGGCAGCGATCCTGCCCCCTTTGTACCTGGACTTGAAACTGGTGGTTTCTCCGGCCTGAGAGGGCTCTGAGAGCCGGCATGTAGCAATATCGCCAGCACATAGCGCTGCGCACGTTCATAGCGTCAAGGTCCAATGCCCACACGGATACACTGTAATTACACCATTACACTGCATTACACACCAGACCGCAGCGCCTCCAGAGGCACAGCATCCAGCCAGGATCTGACCCCACTCCTTGTGCAGCTAGTTTGACAGCCAACCATCCCCACCTACTGTGTGAGAGGTATCTGCCGGTCAGGGTTCAGAGTTAGGGCGCAGAAGGAAGTCGTTCGGCCCATCCTGCCTGTACCGCCTCTATTACCTAGTGCCAATCTCCTGCCTTTTTCTCCATAACCCTGCGCACCATTTCTAACCAAATAAGCAGCCCATGTCCCACTTCAATTGAACCTGCCTCCATCATATTTCCAGGCAGTGTAATCCACATCCTAACCACTGGCTGTGGGAAAGGGTTATTTTCGTTCACATCAGCCTTGCTCCCTTTAAGGATCACTTTGAGTCTATCCCCTCTCCTTCCTTTATGAGCCATTCTATCCAGTTTGCTCATGATTTTGAAAACCTCTGTCAATCTCAGCCTTCTCTCCAAGGAGAGCAGTCCCAACTTATTCAATCTATCCTCATAACTGAAATGCTTAATTCCTGGAATCAATCTGGTAAGATTGCTTCCGCACCCTCAACAATGGATTCACATCTTTCCTTTAATGTGTCACCGACAATTGGACACAGTACTTCTGCTGAGATCTAACATGACTTTGAGGAGACCTGGTCCATGGTGATGTCTACGTGCCTCTGACCTTTGAACGGGTGTAAATGTCAGAGTTTGTGAGGTTCTGTGGAAGGAAGCTTGGTGAGTTGCCACAGTGCATCTTGTAAACCTGCAGATGCTTGTGGCGCAAGGACTGAAGGTTGAAGGTGGTGGATGGGGTGCTGCTTTAGTGGGTGGTTTTGTCCTGGATGGTGTCTCACTTCTTGAATGCTTTTGGATCCACACTCATCCAGTTACCTGGAGTATTATGGACCAAACCAGGCTCCCTCAAAATATTTTTTAAGAAGGTAGCCTAGACCCTAACTTTTTCTTATTTTAAAAGTAAATGTAACGTGCTATGCTCCAGATGCAATTCAACTGGTCAAACTATTTGGCATTAAGCAAATCGCAATTTATTCAAACACTATAGTTAAAATGCAACAAAAGAAAGAAAAACTTAGAATAACAACTCCATTGGAAAGCTTAACAGAATAATAGATACACTAACTATTACTAATTAACTGTTCCAACATAGGAACATCCACAAGCACACACCTTGGCAAAAAGGCAAATTCAGGAAACAGATTTTCTCAGATGCAATGCCCACAGTAGGAAAAGAAACCCCAGTTTCTAGCTGTAATCAAGAGAGGGGAAAATAGCTTCTTCTTCAAAACTCCAGCAGCTTCTGCCAAATCTAAAAGCTAAAACAAAAACTAGAAATCCTGGTCTATGAGAGCTGGCTGCACCCATCCAGGCTGCTTCTATTGTTCCAACTTTAATAAAACCCCAAAGCCTCACAAGCTGTTTATGTTACCACAGACTGCTCAGTATCTCTCGTTCAATCTCTCTCTTAAAAGAAACCAGGACAAAATACACCTCTTAAAGCTACAGCATTGTCACAGAAGAGTATTGCATCACAGTCCCTGACTTGAGAGTTAGGAAGTGGATAGGCTGTGGGGAATCAGAAGGTGAGTTACTCCCCTCAAAATTCCCACTCTCTAACCTGCTGTTGTAGCCACGGTGTTTATATGGCTGGTCCATTTCAGTTTCTGAATATTGATGAGCCCAGGATGTTGTTGTGACGAATTCAGTGAATGCCAGTGTAGTCAAAGGGAGATGCCTAATCTCTTTCTTGTTGGAGATAGTCACTTCCTGTCACTTGTGTGGCATGCATCAACACAATCCAATCTTGTCCACCAGATCTTGCTGTACCTGTTAATTCAATGCCTCAGTATTTGAGAAGTTGCAAATGGTGCTGAACATTGTACCATCTACAATAAACATCCCCACTTCTGACCTTATGGTGGAGGCAAGATCATTGATGAAGAAGCTGAAGATGGCTGGGTACAGGACACTCCCCTGAACAACTCCTGCAGAGATATCCTTTAGCGGAGATGATTGAACTCCAATAATCACACCTTTTTTTGGCTCTGACCATGACGTCAGTGATGGGAAGTTGCTGGAGGGGATTCTGAGAAATAGGATCTATGTGCATTTGGAGAGGCAAGATATTAGGGATAGTCAGCATGGCCTTACACGTGGGAACTCCTGTCTCACAAACTTGATTGAGGTTTTTGAGGATTTCACTAAGAAGATAGATGACAGCAATGCAGTAGACATTATCTACATGGATTTTAGTAAAACCGTAGACAAGGTTCTGCACGGTAGACTGGTTAGTAAAGTTAGATCATATGGAATCCAAGGAGAGCTTGCAAATTGGATACAAAATTGACTTGATGGTAGAAGACAGAGAGTGGTGGTAGGGGGTTATTGTTCAGACTGGAGGTCCCTGTGACCAGCAGTGTTCCACAGGGATCGGTAGTGGGTTCACTTTTGTTTGTCATTTAAATAAATGATTTGGATGAGAATTTAGGAAGCATGGCTAGTAAGTGTACAGATGATACCAAAATTGCTGGTCTAGTGGCCAGTGAAGAAGATTATCTTAAGATTACAAAGAGATCTTGATCAAATGGGCCAATGGGCTGAGGAGTAGCAGATGGAGTTTAATTTGGATAAATGTGAGGTGTTGCATTTTGGTAAGATGGGCAAGGGTGGGACTTATACAATTAATTGTAGGGCCCTGGGAAGTGTTAGAGGAACCTAGAGTTTCAGGTACTTAGTGCTTTGGAAGTTGTGTCGCAGGTAGACAGGATGGTAAAGATGGCATTTGGCACACTTGCCTTCATTGTTCAGACCATTGAGTATAGGAGTTGGGATGTCATGTTGCAGTTGTACAGGACTTTGGTGAGGCCACTTTTGGAGTGTTGTGTAGAGTTCACGTCACCCTGCTACAGAAAGGATATAACTAACTTGGAGAGGGTGCAGAAAAGATTTACAAGGGTATTACCAGGATTGCAGGGTTTGAGTTATAAGTGGAGGCTGGATAAGCTGAGACTTTTTCCACTGGAGAGTAGGAGGTTGAAGGGTGACCTTATAGAGGTTTATAAAATCATGAGGGGCACAGATAAGGTGAACAGCAAAGGTCTTTTCCCTACAGTAAGGAGTTCAAAACCAGAAGGCACATTTTTAAGGTGAGAGGAGAAAGATTTAAAAGGGACCTAAGGGCCAAATTTTTTACACAGTGGTAGTGCGTGTGTGGAATGAACTGCCAGAGGAAGTGGTAGATGCAGGTACAGTTACAACATTTAAAAGACGTTTGAATAGATCCATGATAACACAGTGTAGAGCTGGATGAACACAGCAGGCCAAGCAGCATCAGAGGAGCAGGAAAGCTGCA